CTTTTTCATTTCTAACTTTTAACTTTGTAATTTTAAAATTTCAATAAAATATTATTAAAAAGAAAAGAGATCTGCTGGGACTGCAACCCCAGAAGGCCCAGCTGGTGTGGCCTTTGGGAGGCATCTGGCTGGGGAAGGTGTAGATAGGTCCTGCAAGGAGCAACGGAGGTGAAGCAAGCGTGCTTTCCCCATCGGATACTCTTCTCCTTCCAGGCAGCTGCATTGTCGTCGCTGACCGCCGTCTCCTACCACGGCTCCCTAGTGCTGCAGCATTTACTGCACTTTGCAGATCCTTCCCTCGTGCTGCGCAGCTTGGCCGCCATGCCCCCCGCGGACCTGGTCACGCTGGCTTGCGATCCGGCTGGGAGCCACATCTTCGATGCCCTCCTGGCCAGCCCCTCCGTCCCCGAAAAGCCAAGGCGCAAAGTCTTGCGCCAGCTCAAGGTAAGTCTTGGGAGCCCATGTGAGGTTCTGCTCCAAATTTTTGGAGCTGCCGGTCGTGGGGCTTTTAAAAGTTGGGTTAAGGAGCATCGCTTGCCATTTCTGCAACTGGGGCCGAGTGCATCTCGTTGTGTTTGGATCAGCGGTGCAGAGGTGACTGTAGGTGTGATCAGAAAAGTTGTGATGCTGCAATCAAAGCTTTGCCTTTTTTTATTTGCACCCTAGACTCTTGGTCATTATCACATTCAGGTGCCAGATTCAGCTTCTGGACGGTTTCATTTTACAGGGTTTCTAGTCCTCAAGGCAAGCGTGTCACCATACTGTTAGCAGTGGGCACTATATCTGTATATACACCCATTCGTAACATACCTGTCGTGTTCTCAGGGTTAGCAACATTGTGCAAAAAGCAGAAAAGCAGTAAAGAAATAGTAAACCGATGAAATTAAGGGTATGAGATGAGAAAGAGGAAAGGAAGCGCAACTAACACTAGGTTACACTAACCCCACCTGTTAGACCTGTCTGCGTCTTTCTGTCCCTGCGTCCTTGTTGCCTATGTCCTCCGGTTCATAGGTTGCCCTTTGTTCTTGGTATTTAGTGTTTTTATTTAAATGTCTCCCCTCTCCTTTTGAGGAATTCGTCAACTGCGTCCAGTCACGACTCTTTTGGGTCACTCAACCCAACTCAAGCATTCAGTCTTCCTTCATTTATTTGTTTTGCGAATCACAGGATTGTAAAGAAGGTGTCCTAAGAGTCATGTAGTCCAGCGCCTTCCTTGGTGGAAGATCACTCTGGTAGGTGACTCAGCAGGCTCAATTTCAAGACCTTCAGGGAAGGGGACCTCACCCCTTCAAGCGGCCATCTGTTCCACCGGCTGACAGCTCATACCGTCGGGAGTTTCCTCCTGGTGTCTAGCCTGACCCTCCTTCCTTGTAATTTTAATCCATAGGTTCTGCTCTTGCCCTCTGGGGCAACAGAGAATAACAACTTCACTCTGTCTTCTATCTAACAACAAATACTTGATGACTGTTACTGTATATCCAGAACGATATTTGATCCTCATTCATTCTTTCTGATCAAACCATTTCAGCATCCTTCTTTCATGCAGGCTATTCACTTCTGCATTCGTTCAGGACTTATTCCTCGAAGGCATCTTAAAATGTTTCTACTTTTCCATCTTTAATATACGTTCTACAGAAATACATAAATGCATTTACTTGCTCCCGTTTTTCATCACGTATGTATAATTTGCAATTGTTCACCCCCATTTTCTTGTCATCAAAAAACTGCCATGATCTTTGATACATTCTTTTTCAGATCCACATTCCTTGTTGCATTACACAATCTAACATCTGCAATTGTTTGCATTCTTGGCCAACACCATGTCACCATTTGTGTGCCAAAGTACACATTTCATTTCCACAGTCAGCACAACTCTTAACATTGTCACAACCGTTATTTATATGTTTATCCATCGTGTGTTAAGCCATCGCCCATCCTTGTTTTATTCTCTGCTCATTGATGCCCCATTCACTAAGCCTTCCCTTTATTCCCACACACACTTCATTTCCATCGTATATCGCTCAATCTTCAACTCTTGTTTCTGTGCAACACACAAATAGATGGAACTTCAGAGCCGTCCCCCAAATGGTGGTGGGTTTCCTGCCCTGATTTTCCTGGCACTCAAACCTAGCTTGGCAAGCTAGACTTTAAGTCAAGAGGGTGTGTGTGTGTGTGTAAGTGGGAGAAGGATCTCAGCTCAGATGTAAACTTGCATTTATTTGTAGAGGTCCTGAGTGACAGCAACCTATGACCGGCAGGAGGGGACAGGAAGGCTTCATTCCGTCTCTCCCTCCATTTTTGCTTTGTATTCTCAGGGCCATTACGTGTCTCTCGCCTGCTCCAAGCACGGGAGCCGTGTCCTAGATGCCATCTGGAGCAGAGCCACCTTGCCAGCCAAACAGGAGCTGGCTCAGGAGCTGGGTAAGACCTCCATTTCCTTTCCTCCCCTCCCCTTTTTCCCGTGAGACAATTTTGCGAATGAATGGGTCATCAAGGGGCTGATGGAGTTTGTATTCCCTGCTGGCTTGGCTGGTCCCAGCTCATCGCGTGGGTCCCCCTCTGTCCGGCCTTCCTCGTGAAACACGTCACAGACTAGCAGATTGTGGAAGAAACCCCCGTTCTGCTCTTCCTCTCTTTTGGGGACAAACAGAGCAACTTTGGGAAAGGCTCCTTGGTGGAAGGGGTTGCCTGTCCTTGCTGCTCCCTGGCCCTGGCTGAATTCTGGCTGGGGAATTCTGGGAGTTGAAGTCCACACATCTTAAAGTTCCCACCGTTGAGAAGCACTGCGTTACAGAATGTAGAAGGCTGCCCAACTCATAGCATGGCAGGCCATAATTCAGAATTGACCACCTCCAACGGCTGGGTTCGCACAGCATGCTAAGGTGGAGCCAGACAAAGGACGCTTTGGCTGAACGTCACGCGGAGACCCAGTCTCTGGGTCAGATGGCGGTTCTCCATTTCTCGGAGACCTTGTTTATGCCTTGCAGTCATTTCCCAAAGGGCTTGTTTGGCGTCCCCAAAGCCAGCCTAGCTCCTGAAGCCCCCTCTCTTCTCCCTGCCCTCCCAGCGGATCACGAGCCCCAGCTACGGCATGACCCTTTCGGCCACCACCTCGTTCGCAACTTCGCCTTGACCCATTTCCTGAAACGACGCCGAGACTGGGACAGCCATCAGGAGGCGGAGAAAAAGCGGAGAGAGCTCTTTGCCGAGATCCTGGAGGACTGAACTGGGACGGAGGGACTCGCTTTGGGCCCGGAGTTTGAGGTGGCAAAAGACAGGACCTTTTTTGCTAGCTGATGAAATCAAGAGGACTAGCTCCTTAAGAGGGCTTTGTGTTCCACATCCTGCCAAAGTCTGCACAGGAGAGCCTTCAGGAAC